GGACAGTCTCAAAAGCCACAGAGAAACCCTGTCTTGAAAAAAAAATTTTACATTCTCTCTTATATGTGGATCCTAATTTTTAATTTATATATATATATATATGCATACACACATATATATGCACTCTCGTGTGTGTGTGTGTGTGTGTGTGTGTGTGTGTGTGTGTGTGTGTGTAAAGGTCATAAAACTAGAAAGCCAAACACAGAAGAGGAAAGCCTTTAAGGAAGTCCCAGAATAACAGGACATATGTTACATGAGAGTAGAAAGGTGACAAAAGGGACAGGAGGGTAAGAGGCAGGGCAGGAAGGAGGGGGAAGTCAGGAGGAGAGGAGATGAAACAAATTTTCCCCCTGAAGCTGTTTCTGTCAGATATTCTAGTCACACCAACCCAGAATTAACTAACATAAGCACACACCCCCGTGAACCCAGGTCCTTCCAGCTCTCTTCAGGGGCTGGAGAGCTGGCTCAACACATACTCATCTTGCCAAGGACTGAGGTTTGGACCCCCATGGAGCAGCTCCCATAATCACCTATAACTCCTGTTCCAGGGGATTCAACATCCTCCTCTGACGTCCAAAGACACTGCACCCATCATTTCATAATCAAAACACATATAAACACACACACACACACACACACACACACACACACACACACACGGTTAAAAGAATTTTTAATGTTTTTTTGAGACAGGGTTTCTCTACATAGACCAAGCTGTCCTGGCACTCGCTCTGTAGACCAGGCTGGTCTCGAACTCACAGAGATTCACCTGCCTCTGCCTCCCGAGTGCTGGGACTAAAGGCATATACCACCACCACAAAGTAAAATATTTTTAAGTTAACAATATTTCATTTACAACCAAAGGGTTCTAGAACCCCAGCATAAGATGCCACAGAGCCGCCAGGCGGTGGTGGCCCATGCCTTTAATCCCAGCACTCGGGAGGCCGAGGCAGGCGGATCTCTGTGAGTTCAAGGCCAGCCTGGTCTCCAGAACCAGTGCCAGGATAGGCTCCAAAGCTACACCGAGAACCCCTGTCTGGAAAAAAAAAAAAAAAGGTGCCACAGAGCCTAGTAGAGCTTTAGTTGTTGTGAGGCCTCGTGCTGTGACATAAATTCGACATTAAATACAAAAGTACTGGACTGGAGAGAGGGCTCAGTGGTTAAGAGCACTGGCTGCTCTTCCAGAGGTCCTGAGTTCAATTCCCACCATCCACATGGTGGCTCACAACTGTCTACAAACTGTAGTCACATGGGATTCAATGCCCTCTTTTGATATGCAGATATACATGCAGACAAAACACCCATGTACATAAAATACATTAAATAAATAATAGTAAAAGCAAACGTATTGACACATAAGCTCTCAGCTTTTGTTTTCCAGTTTAAACATGGCACATGTGGATTATTGTTGTGCTATGAAAAGACATCCAAAGGCCTAGGAAATGTCTCAGCAGCCAGTCCCTCTGGGCTCCTAGCTTTCCCATAAAGAAGGCCACTCCCTGCTGCCATAACAAATTACCTGAATCTTGGCAGTGTATAAAGAAACGGGTTCCCATAGCTCACAGTTCTGGAGGTTCAAGAGCATGGTGCCAGCCTCACTCAGCTTCTGGCAAAGGCCACATGCTGTTCCATGCAAGGAAGGAAAGTGGGACGTGAGGCTGTGGCAATTCAATCCACAGCTCTTTTGCCCAGTTTGAGGTAGAAATCAAGAAAAGGTGAACAATGTCTATGCAGGTCTCTGGGACATTATGCTGGAGCCCAGGACAGACAGCTCCTAGTCTGGTTTGCTCCTCCAGGATGAGGAGAACTTATAGTCTGAGGTGCTCAGTTTCACCACCCAAGATGGAGTTGCAGCCTGGCATTCTGCACAGAAAGTCTTAATGAAAGCAGGTGGTGTATGGAGTCATCCAGGGGTAACATCCTGCAAAGCCTTGCTACTTGTTAAAGAATGTAGACAGGGCTGGAGAGATAGCTCAGAGGTTAAGAACACTGGCTGCTCTTCCAGAGGTCCTGAGGTCAATTCCTAGCAACCACATGGTGGCTCACAATCATCCGTTATCAGATCTGGTGCCGTCTTCTGGTGCACAGATATACATGAAAGCAGAATGTTGTATACATAATAATTAAAATTTTAAAAAATCCCTTCCTTAAAAAAAAAATGTAGCACAGTTGGTTAAAGAAGTATCCTACTGGGCTGGAGAGATGGCTCAGAGGTTAAGAGCACTGACTGTTCTTCCAGAGGTCCTGAGTTCAATTCCCAGCAACCACATGGTGGCTCGCAAACATCCGTTATGAGATCTGGTTCCCTCTTCTGGTGTGCAGATATACATGGAAGCAGAATGTTGTATACATAATCAATAAAATCTTTAAAAAAAAAAAAAAAAAGAAGTATCCTACTAGTCTGGCACCAGAGTGTTAGCAAGTAGCCTTAATCCCCACTGGGCTATACCTGGCCTAGCTCCGAAGAGCTAGCACCTAGCCTAACCCATCCTTTGTTGACCAGATACTTTTTGTCCCCCATGTGAACTTTGTTTGGGAGTTTCCCCAGGATACAAAGACCTGTGCAAAACTTGGTTCAGAAACCTGGAAAACTGTGGTACCTGATGAATGGAGACTTTGCACTTGGCATTGTATTTTTGGAAGCTTCATTCAAGTTGTTCTGAGCATATGGCAATCAACTGGCTAAAGTGTAAATACTGAGAAAAATAAAAATGCCCTGGGTGTAGGCTAGGGACCCCTGCAGCTGCAAAAAGCCAAGTTCATTCTTAAAGTGTCTCTGAGTCTTCTTTCAACAGACCAGAGTGAACCCACACCTGTGCTTCGACGTCTGTGACAGTTGTTAAATAGGCCTTTCTTTATTCCATCTCAAAGCAGATGTGTGCAAAAGGAAGGCTGTGTGGTAAGGGCAGTGAGAAGGCTGAGAGGCTAGGAGGTTGAAGTGTTTGCTGGGCAAGCATGAGGACCACATTCAGATCTACAGAAATGCCCAGTGGGCAGGGCAGTCTGCTGTATTTCAGCAGTCTGGAGGAGAGATGGGGATCCCTAAGTAAACTGTCCAGCTAGCCTAGGCAAATTGACAAGAGACCCTGCCTGGATACATAAAGTGGAGAAGAATCAAAGAAGACAGTCAACATCAACTTCTATCTCCCACGAATGCTTGCTTGCTTGCTTTCCAGTGCTCATGTACTTGAAGGCACATATGCTCATGCATGCACATACACACACACACACACACACACACACACACACACATTTTTTTTAATCTGAGAAAATAGTCAGGTGTGGTAGCTCATGCCCTTAATCCCAACAGCTGCAGGTGGATCTCTTAATTTGAGGCCAAACAAGCCAGGACTACAAAGAGAAACCCTGCCTTGAGGAAAAAAAAAAAAATCCAAGAAAGTATGAGCCATCAGGAAGGAGGCCATTCTGAGAGTCCCAGAGAAAGCCTCTATTTACTACCAGTAGCAGGGCCCCCAGGGAGACAATGTCAAGTTCTTTCTCTTGGTGAGAAACATGGGGGATTTCCTCAATGTCCAAACAGTAACATATTCTAGAGGTAAAGGAGAAGAGCTAAGGATTGTTCTCTTTCTTCCTTCTTCCCACTAAGTCAGGCAGATTTTAAATGTTAGTTGAACCAGGAAATGTATAAACTTATGCCTCTGTCTACACTGACAGCTGATTAGTCACGGTGTGATCTCAGGTGACTAGCAGCTACAGAACTATTTAGAAACTTGTTAGAAGCGACGATCATTGCCAGCAGGCATGGTGATGTGCACCTGAAACCCCAACACTCCAGAGGCTGAGAGAGAATCAAGAATCAGAAGCTTAACTGGGCCACACAGTGAATTCTAGTCTGGCCTGGGCTACACAGTAAAACCTTGACTCCAAAGAGAAACAGAAATAAATATCGAGATATAGAGGCAATCTTTTTATTTTATTTTATTAACATGTATGAGCGTTTTGCCTGCACATGTCTGAGTACAAGTACCCACAGAGGCCAGAAGAGGCCATCAGATTCATTGCGATTGGAGTGTTGTGAGCCAGAGTGTGGGTGCTGGGAACTGAACCTCAATGTTCTGCAAGAGCAGCAAGTGTTCTTAACCACTGAGCCATCCCTCCAGCTTCAAGAAACATTCTTTGACCTCCCCCAGATCTACTACATCAGAAACACAGCAACGTTCTATCGAGTCACTGTTTTGTACACATTTGTTTGTCTGAGACAGAGTCCTGCTGGTTTCTGTCCTTCTGTATGCTGTGAATATATGTTTCTCTTATTGGTTGATGAATAAATGCTGATTGGCCAGTAGCCAGACAGGAAGTATAGGCAGGGTTACCTGAGGAGAGAATTCTGGAAAGAGGAATGCAGAGTGAGTTGCCAGATGCCCTGTAGCTGCTGAGGGAGCAGGAGACCTGGGCACCTGGGGTAAGCCAAGACCATGTGGAGACACACAGACTAATCCAAAGGAGCCTGAGCCATAGGCCAAATAGCTTATAATTAATACAAGCCTCTGTGTGCTTATTTGGGACTGAAGGGAGGTGGGACCAGGCTGGACAGAAACTTCCACCTACAACTTTTCATCCTCCTGCCTCAGCCTTCTGAGTGCTGGGATTGCAGTAATGCTCCAGCACTCTGTCAGGATTGTTGGGGGCTTTGAAAGGCAGTTAGACTTCAGCACTAACTGAAAACCTGTCAGGTAAGAGGGGACTGCAGCCTTGAGGAGGAGGGGCCTTCAGGAGTGGGTTGCAGAGCTGAAGGGACCATTGTTCCACAGACTTCCCAAGATCCTCCACTAAATCCCACCTTCTCCCTAACCTCCCTCAACCTCAGCTTCCTCCCGGAACTCTTGGCCTAAACTCAGATTTCCTCACTGATCTGACTAATCGCCGTATCCCTCTATCCCTCCTCATCAAGTCCCCTGACCATCCCAACCTGTGTACTTCTCTGAACTCTATGAGACGAACACCCCCTCCCTCACCACCCCTCACCCCTCAGTCTTCAGCCCTAGAAACCCGCCCAGCCCACTCCAGGCCTGACAAAGGACCAGGTCTCCTCCCCATTGTCAGAGCTCAGGCCTGCTCACTGTCAGGCCCCACGAGCAGCAGCGGCTGAGAGTTCTTGCCCTTGTCGTGCCAGCACACGTCAAAGAAAGGGTACACGGGCCCTGGCAGGCGCTCGTGGAAGGAAAAGAGGGGTGCAAGCGCGTCGGCGTCGCTCGCATCATAGAAAGCCAGCACACCATCGGCGAAGCTCAGGTAGAGGCCGATGCGCGCCGGGCGCCTCTCGGGGGTGCGCAGTGCCCGCGGCTCCTTGGCCTCCACCTGCCCCTCCAGCAC